ACTAAAAAATAAATAATGTGGTCATGTACATAGATATTTGGATACAGAGAAAGTGTCAAGAATTTAGGGCGAAATATGGATGCAAGTATGATAAACAATTTGATATTTTTATAAAAAGTGTTACTAACAAATGAAATAATAGATTATGGAGTTCCAGCAAGTGTGCTCATAACAAATAAAGATAGCAATTCATTTACCACAGTGAATTAAATTCATTACACATTACTACTTGCTATAATACGGCGGGCACATGATACTCATCGTGTTTTAAACTTTTTTAAAGGTTTTGCTCGCTCTCCAGAACTCTCCATTTTTTATTTGTTTGTATTGTCAGATTGTGGACTTTTCAAAATAAACTATCTCTATCTATATCAATGAATACAATATCCCAGGTCACCACTTGGCTGGCATTCTGTTCTGTAGTTAAGTTTTCTGCCTAATAGATGGTATGTATTCCCAATAGGCATTACAGTATGCTCATTCGTTCACTCAATGAGTGATTTTAATTACGGTTAATATAAAATAATTATATATAATATAAATAAGTTCATATTCCATGTTGCATCCATGATTCAGTATTTATTTTGTTCAATTCCAGTAGTAATCCATACCATAATTAGGTTATTTTAATAAATGCATTGATATAAAACAATAAAAATGAAATTAGTAAATATAAAATACATATCATAAACATATAATTTTCTTTTTGAAATAACGCTTTACATAAATTTTTCAATTCCCTCTCAAATGGGTTGTTTATTTTATAATTCTCTATATTTTTCTACATATTATGTCCATTTTTATCTGCTTTTTGAGAAAGGCAAAATGGGGTGTTTTATTTTCGAATATAATAGAATTTCTCATGGTCAAAATTTTATATCTCACTATTGATTACAAAAGTATAATTGCATCCAAATCAACAGTATCTATATGACTATATAAAGGATCGTTGAAATTAAATAATATGCAAGAATCATATTGATAACAAAATGTATTCTAATCAATTTTAATATATCTAAAACAAAATCTTCATAAATATTTTTTGTAAATTTACAATACATGAAAATATGTGAAACAAACTCAGGTTCTCCATTACATAATACACACATTTCATTCTCTGCTATTCTTCCAATTTCTGGCTTTTGTTTTCAATGGCAAGATATCCCAGAGAAATAGTTAAAATTAGTATTTTTAATAAGTAAACGAATAGCTCGCAGAGCTATGTGATTCATATGGAGCACAGAGCTATGATTGAGAGAGGCCGTAGTTTGCCATATATTTAGGCATTCTTCTCGGCTTTCCTCTCCCCTTGGATAAATATGTAAATCCCATGCGCGGCGGTGTGGCTCAACGGGCTAAACGTTAGGAATACGCTCGCCACCGCACCTCTAATTACTCTGCATGGGTCCGCAGGTTCGAATCCCATGCAGGGATGGTTATGTGCAAGAGGATTGCTGGACTCCTCGCCGCCGTTGGGTGATTCACGTAACCGCTGGTCAGTTACCGGTACGGCTTCCTCCACCACTAAGTCCATGCTTCCGAATACAAACAATATATCTAATCCCATACCCGACTTGGAATGGTAACCGGACGAGAGGCCGTGGTTCGTCATATGGATAAGTCGTCTTATCACTTTCCTTTCCCCCGGGATAAATATGTAAATCCTTATCCTCATTATCCTAATAAATACATAAATAACCGCACCTCACTCGGCGACTGGTTCATATTCTGTACTGTAGCTACGTTTTCTGTCTAATAGATATGCATTCCCAATAAGCATATGCTCATAGTTGTATGCTTTCAGCGTACCATACTTCGAAACCAAAAACCAAATATGTATTGAAGAATTAAAGACCTCAATACGGCCAATTTCGCACCCGACTCGGCTGAAGCAAGGGATTTTGGCAGCGAGCAATGCGTTTTCTTAATATGCAACGAACCATTTAGCCGGACGACGTAAAAATGCAGGGAACAATACCAAAATGAGCAAATCTTTGCAAGTTTCCACTCATTGTATATATGCTCATTGATTATGCTGACTGGCTTAACGCCAAAGCGGGACATTTGGCTGGCCAGTCGGGACGCCGGGACAAGAGATCAAAAAGTGGGACTGTCCAGCCTAAAGCGGGACGTATGATAAGCCTAGCTATAAATATTCATTTGGGATATTTGACAATTCAAGAGTGTGAGACCAGGGTCAGAGGTCACAGAATTATTCGTATCTGACGTGTCGTGGTTTGCTGCAACCACTCTAATTTGTGAAAATCAGATACGGGGAAGCTTTCTTGACATCGGGAATGTAATATCCAGGCGGTGCATGTTTTAAATCAGAGGTGTGCAAAGTGCGGCCCGCGGGCCTAATGCGGCCCGCAAAGAATAAATGTGCGGCCCGAGGAGAAGTCCCAAGTTTGAATGATGTGCGACCAGTGAGTTTTTAATTCAGTTTCATTCTGGTTCCCTTTGCGTTGCAGAGCTCTATCCAAGTCCAATTTATTATCTATGCCTATGGCGTTACGCTAGCGAGACCAGCGAGCAATTTGAGGAAAGTGCGGAGCAAACGCTAATGAATTAGTCAGAACGGGCAACTGAAGATTAGGCAGTTGAAAAGCAAAATTAACAAAATTAATATTACGAGATAAAAAGCTAAATAAGTTTTGGTTTCAGTCTATCACTTGATTTTGTCTAAATCTAATCTAAAATAGGATTTGAAAGCAAAATATTTGAGAATGAATCCTGGCGATTTTTACCAAAAACATCTCAACCAAGATAACTTTCCACATTTGAAAAAAATCGTGGCTCCAAATATGGCACTTTTCGGCACAACATATTTTTTTTCTAAAATGGGCCTCATGAAAGCGCCTGAAAAACGAAGACTTGGAAAATGGATGTCCATGGATCGATCTTTCATTAAAGCAAATTTGGATAAAAGTATCCGGGAAAGGATCCAGCAGCAAATTTTTCACGAATTCGTTTAAATTAGGTTTTTAGAGAAAATCTCTCTTGATATGTAAAAGTGCGGTCACTACACTAAATACACGCTCTACCCAGAATGAGCTGTCAAGGGCCAGACCCAATCTCGCACGTGAAGATATTTCAATTCGATGGAACACCGGGAGACTGAACATGGGTTTAAAGTATAAACTCAATGGTAGTGGTGCATTTTTGCTTCTGGAAATTCAGGGTTATCTACAAAACAAAAACCAAAAATTTCTTAAGTATCTCGGAAAAAATTATTTAATGTTATTTGCGCTTGAACTTCTGTTTGCGTATGTTTATAACAAGTAGTTTCGCAAAGTTTCCAACCACTCACTTAGCTTTTTGCTGAAGCGCACCTTCTGCTGTCAGGACATGAAAATGAATGAGTTCAAACGGCGAATTCAGAACATTACGTGGTTGTGCCAAGAAAAATGTGAACATGACTTGATGGATTGATAGTGGTGACCCGCAGTGGTTCCAGCATGACGAAGCGACCCCCCATACACCAAATCAGACGCATGATTTCCGGAGTGAAATAACAGCAGTGATATCCAGTGAGCACCATCATTATCGGACTGAAACCTCTCAGATTTTGATATGTAGCGTGTTCGGAGTATAATTTGTATCAGGACAATTCTCAAACGATTGGTGAACTCAAGGCTGCATTTGCATAAATAAAATAGAGAAGGATATGATTTACACATTTATCCCGGGGGAGAGGAAATCCGATAAGACGCATACGCATATGGCGAACCACGGCCTCTCGTCCGGTTACCATTCCAAGTCGGGTATGGGATTAGTTATATTGCTATATTGTTTTCGGAAGCATGGACTTGGTGGTGGAGGAAGCCGTAACCGACCAGCGGTTACGTGAACAACCCAACGACGGCGAGGAGTCCAGCAATCCTTTCGCACATAACCATCCGTGCATGAGATACGAACCTGCGAACCCTTGCAGAGTAATTAGAGGTGCGGTGGCGAGCGTATTCCTAACGCTTAGCCCGTTGAGCCACACCGCCGCGCCGTAATACCCAAAGAAGAGTGATTGACAATGTTGCAAGAAGAATGCAATTCTTTCTTCAATGACGCATTTGGAAAATATTCCGAGAATAATATATTTTTGTGCAAAACGTCCTAGACTTTGTGACACTTTAGGGTACAAACATACGCAAACAGAAGTTCAAGTAAAGACAAAATTAAATGGTTCACTCCAATTTCGTTGAAGTAATTAGGAAATTGATGGTTCCGTTTTTTGGGAATCCCGCTGTATACCTACTGTTTTTAATATAAATCAGTTTATCCTATCTGATGCCGTTTTGCTCTTAACAAAACCAAAATTATGACATAAGGGTGTTGTACATACACTATCGCTTCAAAGCATCATAGAACTCAATAGTAAAATGAAGCTGTTATTCAATACAGTATAACGAAACAGTGCATGGTGAAGGACGCATATGCCGTATGCTCTATCTAGACTAGTATAAATATGAAACAATAAGAATTTAGAAAAGTCATAACACCTGTTCTACGTTAAGCAAAAAATTTCCAACACCGAAATCACAAGCAAACTAGTTCGAACCAAAACATAGGAGTAAATGACATCAAATACCACACTTCTTGTGAGTTCCCGTATTGATGTCAGTGCCCTCCAATTTGACAGCCAGCGTCCCTCAGTTGCCCAAATCGCCATCAGCGCCCCCAAGTTATTGCAAACGCCTATACTGCTTTCTTGATATCAAGATATTTACTTGCAACATCAATGACATTAATTTTTAATGTCATTGGCAACATCTTAGCACTATTTTACATTCTTGAGTCCGATACGCCCTACTCACTTATCGCGACTTTTTTTTTTTTTTTCTTACACATCACAATATTTACTAAACTTGTATAAGTTTAATATTCACATTTTACATTTACCAATGTTACTGTTTATGTTTAGTGAAATAATGCTTATAGCACAGAGAAGTACATCACTGATTCCTCTAGGGGTCAAATGTCAACCAAATGCTATTTTTTCATGTTACTATAACAACTGAAGCTGTAGGAACACCGCCAAGCGCGATAGCCTAGTTGCAGTGTTTTTGCTAGGCTTTCAGTAGAAGTTGGCAAACAACTCAATGAAATCAGGTGAACAAATATAAGTATATAAAAAATCATGTAACAAATTTTTATGCCATAATTTTTATTATCCATTTATCATAAAACTGTAAAAGGCAGAAACCCTACGGTATTTCAGTATTTACAGATTTACCGTAACATTTCACAGTTTCATGAGATTTTTGTTACTCTTCCTACCTGTATACTGCAGTACTGTTAAATATAGGCTATTTATTGAAGATAAGATAGCAGAAGCATACACAATTGCTGATTTAAGTAGGATGCGGTACCGTAGCTGTGGAGTAGGAATATGAAACTATTACTGTATTTAAGTATAAGTTTATTTCGACCCCATAATCAGCAAAACAATAAAATGAATGGTAAAAATAAATAAATAAAAACTGATTATGAAATCAGGAGAGCGAACAAAACCTTAGATAAGGTTTAAAGCGTACAGAATGTATATAAGATGGAAGGTTTTGCCAAGAAGATGTGGTACGTGTTCACTCACCTAAAATAATTGAAATATTTCACACACGCACCCACACACACAACCATATAGAAGTTATTAAGTAAAGGGAACATGAAAAATTACATACTGGTAGTTAATGAAAAATAAATAAATAAAAATTACTTGCCACACCATATTAATAAATTTATGGTGATTGCCACTGCCAAATTGATCAATTTTATAAATGGGAGTGAACAGTAAAGATAAACTTTTATAAAAAAATATATTGTCAAGCTGATTATAGATGGAGTCAAATGCCAAAATGCCCAACCAAAGTTGCCAGAATTGGGTGCATGAAGAGGTGGGCTAGACCACTTCATTGCCCAAACTAGAGCCTATTATTGCCAAATTATAGTCCAGATTGTAATAAGTATTTAAATCTATCAGTAACTTTATAAGTAAATTAAGGTAGAAAGACAGGGTATAGGAATATGTTGGTTGCTAAGGTTATAAGGTTTTTTTTTTTTTTTATTCTTAGATATTGACTTCTGCAAGGATAAAGGAATTAGGAATAAAGGAATTAGTATTGTTATTTCACAGGATCATTTCTTCATTTAATTATTGTGGCGTAATAGTAATAAATAGTAAATATAATAAATATTTATTCCATTAAGTTACTTTTCTTGGTTTGTATTTATGCCACCGGCAAACTTGTTACTTTATTGTTGTTAGATTGTTGTTCCTATGTTATGAATTAGCAATATACTAAAGGGCCAACTGCTGAAATTCCCTGTCCAGCAGTTGGTTTTCGGACTCTTCAATGCAATCCCAAGAAACTAACTAGCCTATCTCTATGCGATGTTAGATTACTGATAAATACGGTACTCAACGTCAAAAAAACTAGTTTCCTAACTCCAAAATTCCACTTTTTCAAATTAGATATTTGAACTTTGGGTGTCGCTGCTTGATAACCAGCTTTGGTTCCCCCCGATTTCCCCTTCGCAGTAAAACTGTAATTTTTATTTTGTTTTCTTATTCTCTGTGTTCATTTTTTTTTTGAAAACATATACTTGAATTTATACCACATAATTGTTTCTTGGCAATACTCTTTCATAAGACATTTGCCAGCAAAAATATTTCATCACAAAAACTTTTGGATAGATTGAGGCTATAAACACATTCACAATACATAGGCTACTACCGTACATTTTTTTTTCAATCAGTCTGATAAATTGAAGAATCACAATGCCGAAGAAAGGAAAAAAGGGAAAGGGGAAAGGAAAGAAGGGCAAAAAGAGCGGGTAAGTAACTTATAATCTGTTCACAAAGAAAAATTTGTCTAGCCTGATGCAGCTTAAACTTTTGTAAGTTATGACCAACTTTGAATATGTTTAGATTAAAATTGAACATATAAGATTCCAAGTTAATTTCATACAATTGAGAAATAGATTGCTATCAAGTCCATCCATCTGAAAACAAAATAACCGACCTTCTATTCCATACCTGATATAGACTGGTTATCGGACGAGAGACCAAGGTTCGCCATATGACAGTATGATTAAGCTGCCCTATTGCCCTTTCTTCTCCCAGGATATGTAAATCAGATCCTACTTGAAATTTAATTTGATTTCAAACTCTAGGCCAGCAGCAAACAAAATATAGTTGATAGTTTGCTATATGATTTTGATTCCCTTTTAAATTTGCTAAACAGTTTTTATGCTCATATTTATCAATTTTCTTAATAACAATATACAGATAATTCCATATTTCTTGTTTCCATTTTTTAATGATACAGAAAAAAGGGTGGAAAAGGAGGAAAATCTGGAAAGCCCAAAGTTGATAGAGATTCTGAATTAACAATGGCAGTTGCAAATGCAAAGTTATGGGCAAGTCGGCTTGAGGTTACTGAAGTTTCAAGAAATGAATACAGGTTGGATATTGAAATTGTCAAATTACTAAGTTTCAATTGTCCGGTTGGTATTATTGAATTACCAAATTTTGGTTGTTAATAATTTTTATGTATTTTTGTTTTTCAACAGAGAATCTTGTAAAAAGTTAGCAGTAGATAATGAAAAGTTACATGACACTTTGTTTCAATCTGAAAAAGACACAATTGATGTTATCACATATATGAAAAAAGGAGAACTAGACAAAGATGATAAGGTTTGTTGAGTATCATTTCATATTTTAGTATGTAATTGTTGTATTACTGTATTTGTGGTAAGGTATTAGTTCAAGATACTGAGTGATAATATATTTTAGTAGATAACATCTCAGTTCTCGAAAAGCTGGAGTTTGGGTTTTTGATGTGACATATTTGTCATATAGATCATATATATTTGTCATATAGATCATATATATCCTAAAATGTTTTCATATTTCTAGATTCAAGAGTTGGAGCATCAGCTTCGAGAATTCAAAAAGGAGAGTCGACAAGAAAAAGAAAAGTTTGTGAGTTTTGATTGTCTGACTTTCAAATCGATCTTTTCAAATCTGACTTTCAAATTGATGAATTTATAAACCATACTTTCATGTCGGGTTTATCTGGCATGAACGGATATCTTATAGGCCTAATACAGTAGTTTCCAATTTTTTTTTCTAGCGACCTAAATTTTTTAAAAAATAAATTTTGTAAAATCTTGCCAGGAATATGAAATCTCCCAGATAATGACGATGTATTGCAAAATAATGCGATCACACAATTTCAGAAGGTGAATGCATTTCCGCCTCAAGTTCACCTACCCACCACCTTCAAGAAAAATACAGACAAACAAATAAGAAAATTATCATTCATTTTCCAGATGGCAGAATTTAATGCATCAGCTGCAGAATTAGAAAACAAATTACATCAAAGAACAAGCGAAGTGAAACTAATGCAGTCTGAATTAAAGATGGTAAAAGAATTTCGAAGGTGAGAATTTGAACTTTCAACTCATTTCATTGAACTGTTGACAAAATATTTTGCTATGTGATAAAAGTCCTAGTCTGTTGTTATTGAAATAATAATAGTTACTAGTATGTTCAAATTAGAGTGCGATAAAGGCGTGACTTCATTTATAGATAATGATTTTCTCTTATACATACTTTCACGCATACGTCATATTTATTCGTAGTTATAAAATCCCAATAGATCACCTTTAGATACTTTGATTTATAATCTTCATTAAAATTCTTATTTTTGTTCATGTTTCTTATAAATTGCTTGCTAAATTGCTAAACTTTAGAAAGCGAGCACAAATGCAATCAGAATTGGATGAGATTCGTGAAGGACTTTATCTTGCAAACACAGAACACAAAGACACAATACAAAAAATGGAACACAAGGTAGGCTTATTCAGTGCATTATAACAGGCCGTTTCAGTGGAATTTGTTTCATGGGGGACAATTCTCTGGTACTTTTACTCACCAGGAATTTTGAAATGACAAAAAAATAATTATTTCTGGTAATTCCAGTTAGATGGTTGCAAATAGTACTACTGCTATAAATGATATATTTACCCAATGTGAATGACATATCTTGTTTTCTGTTGTGACTTCATCAGATATCTAATAAATTGATTTTTTTTTTGCAGTTTTTTGAAGAAAAGATTCGCCTTGAGAGAGAAGCAAGTCAAAAAATAGCTGAACTTGCTGAGAGAGCTCATACAGAAGCAATTGCAAATTTGGATGAAACAACAAGATCTGTTTATAAGGAGAATGTTAGACTAAATGAAGCACTGAGTTATCATATAAAGGTATGATATGCTTCCTACCTCTCATTATAGTAGTAATAGAGGGAGAGAATTTTCATCCTTCATCCCAAGGAAACGAGAGAGTTATCATCTATCTAGTTGCCAGCCCATATATGGGAATATCTGATAAGATAATCATTCTACATACAATGGATTCAAGGCAAAGTAAACCATAACTTGTAGTTGCACGAACCATTCCAAGAGGACGAGTAATGGAGATGGAGTCACTATTGATTCACAGTCACGCAAACCATCCTAAGAATGTGAGGATTCTGCCAATCCTCACACATGGTTATTATAGAATGCCAACTTACCGTCAATCGGGCATGGAAGGCCAGTAATGAATAATGATTGCTTTGTACTATTCTCATACCTTCCCGGTGGTTTGATTGGGCAATCCAATAAGTGAATATTATCATTTGCTTTTAGGAATCTCAAGACCTAAGAACTGAAAGAGACAAACTTCAAAGGGAGGTTGAAGAATTACGAGCACATAAAGAACTCAATGATGCAACAGTGAAAGAAAAAGTGACCGAGAGTAAACAGAATAAACAACTTATCGCTAATCTCAAAGAAAAAGTTGAAAATTTGGAAAAAGCTTTGAGTAAAATGGTGAATAACTATACTATATAGGAATTTAAATGCTGGGAAAGAATTTCATATTATAAAGTACATGGACAAATAATTTTTGATCTGCATTTTGAGCATTGACATCAATTCAGCGGTTAATTTTTTAACAGCGGTAATTCAAATACTTCAGCATCGTACTGAAGGGAAATCTTTCGAACCTATTTAATTATCCGAGAGTAATTAACAATAGTTCAAAATAAACTTACAGGTGTAAATGAACCCTGTTACCAAATCTAGAACAGTATATGAAGAAAAAGTATATTTTGAAATGCAACGATTGCCATGCTTTTAAGGTTCATGAATTTCATTCTGAAAAAAGAATATTGGAAGAAAAATTTCGTGTTGAAACTGCTGTTACTAGAACTGATGTGCACAGACTTGAAAGAACTTTGTCTTTGAAAGAGAGAGAAATGAATAAAGTGAGTATTGTGAAGTTTTTATTATTCAATCAATTGTCTTTTATTGTCTGAATTGTATGAACTATAAATATAAACTATTATTATAATAGGTATTTGATTATAATTGAACTCTATTGATATATTAATATGGACTTTCGGATTTAAATGGAACCCCAAACCCTGGAGCATATTGGCGAAACCAGTAATCAGTATTTATTTTATCACCATAAAGAAAATACACTTTATGCGAACAATAGAAATAAAAGACAAGAATATGGCATTTCAGTGTGAAAGGTGGCGCGAGAAACCAAATCTGGTTAACAAGCAGCGACACCCATGATAAAGTCTAACAGTAATTAATATATAAAGGAGAAAAGAGTCGAACATGACATCATGAAAAAAAAAGTTTACAACAGAACAGAAAACAAAACCGAATACATACAAAAATAAAAAAACCTCCTCGGTTAAAATCCATGGGAAGTTTCCAATCATTATTAAATTTATATATTTTTGTAAAGCGAAGTAATGCATATAGAGTAAAATTAACATTGCTTTTCCTTCTACCAGGTTAAATTTGTTGCTAAAAGTATTCTTGACCAACGAACTTCAGTTGAGGTGTTTTTCTTGGATGCTTTGGAACAAGTTCGCACTGAGATTGCATTGAACAGGTAATATGCCCAGCGAACTCGTTTCTTAGCAGACACGTTTTGCGCTTCAAGAGTTTTTAATTCAATGTATGTTAAGCGTGTTAAGTTGATGTAGCTTATTAGTGACATACATAAGCAAATATTAAATACAGTTATAGAGCCAAATTAGCATGGTTTTTTTAAATGACGGAATCTGTTGTTAGTAAGTTTGATACAAGAAAAAACCTGTCATTAAAATCTTGAATTCCTAGATTTATGACTATCTTACGTGTTAAATCTTAAAATATTCATTATCTAAATTTTTATTTCTAGAGCCCAGTATGTTCAAGCAGCAAAATCAGCTTATCAACGTAAAATGATGGCAGCTCATGCAGGTCAAGGGAGTTATCCAAAAATTAGAACATTTCAAAAATCTGACTCGAGTACAAACAGTGTCTATGCAGATCTAAGCGAAGCTGAAAATTGGTAATTATATCTGCTATTATAATGTTACTGAAGCATAACTCGGTGCTATATTTCATTCATATGTTGAGTCGATTTTATTTTTTCCGACCGATAAGCAGTAAAAAATTTTTCATATACAATATCCAAGAAAAAAATATAGCAACGACACCCAAGGTTTAAATATCTGATTAGAAATAATTTATTTAAGGAATTTAAATATTGTATGGTTCTGTTGAATTATCAAACTAGCATTTCTTAACCGAAAACCATCAGACAACAGATGGATGGCAGAATCCCCGCTTCTGGATGACTTCTGGAAAAGTGCTTTGTCCTGAAAATAAGTTTGTTGAATTTTGAAGATGATCTTGCCTCCTTAAACTATCAATAATGCAAAATACTGTTGTTATACAAGATGCATTATCGTTTATGTAATGTACAGGGCGTCATTAGGAAATAAAATCGACATCAGAGAACTAACTTGGGAGCAGAAAGAGAAAGTTTTGAGATTATTATTTGCAAAAATGAATGGAATTGCTAATTTAAAGAAAAAGGAACAGCAGAAAGCCCTGCCACACCCACCATCTGCTCCAGCTCAACTTAGCCTCACTAACAAACCAAGGTGAGAATAAAGAAATTATCATATTTCCTGATAAATGAAGCAAGACAGAATGATACTCTTTCAAATTGAATTGACGACACCAGGGGTGTGCAAATGTGGCACGCACGGAAAAATTGTGCTGCCTGCCATTTCTGCAAGGACCCCTAAGAATGCAGCAAAATCAAAAACAAACAATTTTTTGTACTTGCAACTACTAGTAAGCCTATTTTAAATAGAGGTACGGCCCGCGCCTTCACCCAGTTTTTTGTATCTGGCTCTTCTGTAAATAAGGTTGCATGCACACCCATACATCACCACCATAATTGGTATATTGACCTTGAAAACTTCCATGTATTTGCTAGTCATACAATGGTGAAGTTTTAGTGATGCATTAATGTCTTTATAGGTTTAAAAAATCATATTTTTAAATACTTGTGCTCCTTCTTTAAGAATCTAACACGATCGAATACTTCCACTGCTTCAAGAATTTCCCTTTTTTAAATTAGGAAATCTTTTTATCTAACTTATATACTTCTATCATAGCGATGAAGACAAAGCACCAGAAGCTCCTGCGTTTTTAACACAGTCAGAGGAAATACAACAACAGCAGGTCACCAGCATACCAGATCACAATACCAGCGGAGTATCTTTACCCGATATTGGCAAACCTAAGGCAATAGTCACATCATGAAGACTTATTTTTGCATCCCTGTTTTATATTTTTTTATTACATGAAATTATAAAAACTGTTGGAACATTGTGATTGATATTTTAGAAATAAAATTTTATTCTAATTTACATTATCAGAAATATAAATTTTAGTGAATTTTCAATTGATGTTCTGATTATACAGAATTTCTAATATGCCAGATGCAGGCTACAGATGAATTTTCTTTGGTATATTACTTTATAACTTGCTTATGGGTCGAAGGTGTCGTTCATACACAGTTACCAATACCCACATCAAGGGAGTTAAATTCAAAAAAACTAAAGCAAAAATAAATAGTTAAGAAATAATTTAAATATACTGACCCTAGTGCAAATTGAATTTGTTAACTGCTTGCCTAATCAGGTCTATCCTCACATGTACTGGGCACAGAATGATGTACATGCTTTCCCTAATTCAGACTTATGTATTTGGTATTTCTGTAGCAACAGGCTAGCATAGCCTACCTACCTCCTGTAACACTAATTTCACAGCTACTTTTCATAGATGACTCCCATTTTTAATCTTACAAATGCTCTGCACTTACTGGATGAATAGTTACCTGACTGGATTAACATCTCAAAATCTATTAACTAAATTTAACTCATTGAACATTGTACACTTTAGGTAAACATGTATATTTTGATTTGAAAAGAAAAGCATTGGCCCTAAAATTACATTATCAAATGGTCATTGCAATAATATGAAAATTTATGAGGCAAGCAGTATATCTTTACATCAATTTATCAAGAGGATTGTGTAGACATTTGACATGATTAAAAAGAATAGTCACACATGGCCTACAGTCCACCATGTCAGTGCACTAAATTTCTATAATTCACAAAACATCTATTTATAAAATGCGTCTTTTAAAAGTACACCACATAAGGCACGACTACCAACACATATACATTTATCTCATCACTGGCATGGCGACTGCTGCCTTTGAATGTGTGACATCTTCTTCGCGCCACAACTGTGTGACGGTCTTCAACTGTGTGTAGAACTGAATGCCCTTGAAACAGAATATATACATACAGATTAGTGTGAAGTAATACCAACCAGAAAACATATGGAGCATATATAAAACACATTTCTGATAAATAAAATCTCACTCAATTCACATAGAAAAACTACCAGTTGTAAGTATACTTTGCAATTCTCATATAAGTAATCAAGCATTTCAATTATTTGATCATTATAATAATAGGTGAGTATAGTAACATCTTTATGACAAACAGATACGACTTACCTGCTTTCCATAAAAGTTGACATCACCACGGAATGAAGCTCTTGAACCAGTGAATGAAAACATTGGTAGAGGAACTGGGATTGGAACATTGACGCCTACTTGCCCAACATCTAGAAGAAAAAGTAGCATATAGATTCAGAATATCTTCACAACAATGATTTTAATCAGTGAAATTTATCTATGATTGATGAGTTTATAAATGCCTTGAACATTTTCATCTTGTTTACACATACAGGAGTATATACAATACAACTATTGAAGTTTGAATCACTGGCATTGGCAAACTCCTATTACATCACCATTTCTCATATATCTTAGGCAAAAGAGACAATAACAATGCCTTAGTTTCTAGTCCAAGTTTGGTATGAGTATACCAACTAATGAATCATCATCCCAACTTAGACAGTGAAGGTCAGCTATGATCAGCAAAGGGCTAAAGCACTCTTTTTGGGCAAGGTACAGTAAATCTTGTAAAATGTGATCATTAGATTACCCACACGATTGTGGACACCCTACCTTATTCGGGGTAATTGAAGGGAAAAAGCAATTGCAAGTATGTGTTACACTACACTCATTTCAATACCATTGTCATTTTGCTTTATTCTTACCTATCTCATTGATAAATTTTCTTGCTGTTGCCCCACTTGAGGTGAAGATAGCTGTTCCGTTCCCGTATGGATTATTATTAATAAGGCTGACAGCATCATCAAGACTGTCTGCTTCAAGTATCACAAGGACAGGCCCAAATATTTCCTCTTTGTAGCAGGTCATGTCAGGCTGCAAACAATTTTGTTCAGAAAAAAAATGTTCAAACAAAGGAAGAGTGTAAAATACCAATTATCAAACCATGTAAAAAGGTAGAGAAACCATTTTGTATGGCATGGCATGTAAATACTTAAAATTATAAATAACACACAAAAATTTATTGCTGAACAGTGGTCTGCACTGAATGTGGACAGAATCTACAAACGGAAATTATAAAACATTAAAAATGAGACTCGATTAGAGCAACCTGCCCTTTTTTCTGTATCTGAATTCATTGCACACACAATACTTTGCCTTGATTTAGCTAAACTATAATACTACTGTTATAATAATACACACATATTACCTTTACACCAGTAATAATAGTTGGGCCAACAAAATTTCCATTTTCGTAACCTTTGACTTTGATGTCTCTTCCATCAAGCAAAAGTGTAGCTCCCTCATCCACACCAGACTGAACAAGTTCATTTATCCTTTTCTTAGCTTCTGGTGAAATAACTGGTCCTAGATCTGCTCCTGGTTGGTCACCTATAACGAAGAGTACTATTAGGTTAGTCCAAGTAATCAAGAGATTCAAAAGTGAACAAAAAAGCAATAAACATATTGCAACTATGATACATTTTAGATATTTTGGAGCTTAGATACATGAATTGAAAAGGGAGGAATAATAAAATAATATTAAAAACGATTTTTACTATGCATATCTTCTTTATAAAGCAGAGAAGCAGAAAAAAAAAGCGAAGAAAACAGAATGAGCAAAGCACTTGTAAAATTCCAAAACCTCCTGGGTGTAGCTGCTCGATAACCAGTTTTGGTTCCCTGCTAATTTCCTTCCCCAGTAAATCTATTTAATTATCATTTTCTCGTGATTTATGTTCGATTGTTATTGATTTCACTGGATGGAAAAAATAAAATTGACTCAACTCTGGTATATTAGTACCAGACGACAATTATATACGGTTATATTTGCTATGCTCTTACCCACCTGCATTTACTTTTAATTTCTTTGCTCTTTCTTCTAAATCTTTAATCCATTCTTTGGACTCTCCAACAAAAACTGCCGTAGAAAGTGCCATACATCTTTGACCCGCTGCTCCAAATGCAGCTCCTACAAGTTGATTCAGAGTATTTTCCTGGAATATGTTAATATAACGTGTAATATAATAATAATGTGTCAATAGATAACATTAAAATATTGCTCATTTTTTGCAAATAAAACATATAAATGAATTCAACTATATTTGAGAAAACAAACACCCTTAGGATATCAATGCTACTGCACCATATAAATCAGGGCTACTCAACTGGCAGACCGTGATCCGAAAACGAACCTCATTTTGAATCATTGGCCCCACTTTTGATATGTGCAGGTTTCCTTTTATTAAATGACTTAACGTTTTAAAGGTTATTTTATGTTTTGCTCATATTTGCATCTGACTAGATATAAAGAGAAACTTTAACGCCATAATAAACAATGCGAACAGTGCTATCTTGACTAACAAATAATCCCAAGCCGGCCAAGGAAGTGCACATTTAGGGATGTTGAAATATAATTTTGAAAGGATTGCAACACAGTAATTTTGAGGTTTTGTATACGGATGTTTGGTAAAACTAGTTGAGTAGCCCTGATATTAACCAGCATTGTCACATTCAATAATTACATTGCATTGGAGGCCAAACACATAAATTACAGCAATACCTACCTTGTTTGCATCAGGTAAAATTACGCCATGATTCTTGGCTCCCATATTTGATTGAACTCGTTTTCCATTCTTCGATCCTCGTTCATGAATATATTCTCCTGCTTGATTCGATCCAACGAATGATATTGCTTTTATTGCCGGATGATCACATACAAAATTGACAGCTAAAAATTCAATTTCTCTGTAAAATTTCTATGTAAAACATCTAAATATTCTAAATGACCTGGGCTCCGTTTTTTGGATCACCCTATATATACATATAAACTACTGATAGTCAAAATTATCTATTATAATAACATATGCTATCTCCTGAAGTATGCGCACCAAGATGGCGCACAACCTGAAATCAGGTTGTGTACCAGGTTAGGGTTCAGGTTATGCGACATCTTAGTGCGCATATTTCAGGAGTACCAGACAATGCTTATTGTTATGAGGCTGATGAGCAAGGCATTGCCACATGCTATTGCAGCTGTTACTTCTCATCCTAAAGGCTAGCAATTAAGCAAGGAGAGAAACTAGATTTTACATATTCCAGAGCAATACTATCAAACAATACATAAAATATACACAGCACACACATGTGTTCGTATTATATTTAGATGAACTCAAACTTTTTACAGTACCCTTAGTATGTGCCGATAGGTTTCAGTCCCTTTACACAACTTGATGTAAAGTAGGCTAACGAAATTAGTTATCAATAATCATTCCTATCACATGAACACCTTTTCAATCTTACCATCTCTAGCCCCATGTATGATATTAAGAGTTCCATCAGGGAATCCGGCATCTTGTGCAAGCTTAGCAAGAAACATTGCTGCTCCTGGATCTCTTTCAGAAGGCTTAAGAACATATGTATTTCCACACACCATGGCCATCGGGTACATCTGATATAGAAATTTTTTTTTATTTCAGGTATAAGCTGGATTGAATACACCAAACAGAATCTGTGGTGATAGTCTCAATGCAAATTGCATGAGAATACAGATTGTGCTGAAATAATATCTACAATATTTCAGTAATTTTGAAACTAGCATTATCTAATCTAAAAAAGGGAGGACTTTGAAATATGTTAAAAAATACAGTAAAATAACTATAATTTCACATAAATATTCAATGCTAGATTATACAGGGTGACACAAAAAATTTTTGTTCAAAATTTACCGCAGCCTTCAAATTTTCATTTCATGTCTGAAAATCCTGTGCAATCAAAATTTAAATCACTCACCCACAAAGGAATCATGGCAGGAAAGTTGAATGGTGTAATACCAGCACAAACACCTAATGGATATCTGTAGGTCATTGTGTCCATATCTTTTGCCACTGATGGCAGAGTTTCACCAAGAGCAAGAGATGTAATGCTGCAGCAATGTTCAACAACCTCTGAAATAATGTTATAAGCAATTTTGTAAGGTTATCTGCTTCCACTCTGATCAGGGATCTAGATGGTATGCCAACCCGAGAGCACTTTTAGTGCGACTGCACAGTTGTAAGTCATTTTTCGTTGCACAGAAAAAACTAGTATAAAAGTCTCGCTAGAGTACCGGCGTTAAAACCCATTTCCCAGATAACTGCCAGGCCGATCGTGACGAAACTTGACATGAAGCGGGGGACAGGTGCCAAAGGAACACAGAAAATTTTTGGTAGCGATCGGGCCAAAGGAAAGGGGCCAAAACGGGCTTTTAGTGTCCCGAAGCTGTTTATTGGCCAATAAGCAGTCAATCAAGTAACGCTAGAGTGATTTTGGGGTTTAGAAGCTGTTTAGCTCCGTTTTCGGGGCCAAAAAGCGTTTGCCCGAGTATTGGGAATTTATTCAAGTGATATTGGGGGTGGGGGCACTGCCACCGCCCCCCCAGTGGTGAGAAAACGTGTGGAAAGCCACGCCCACTTAGGTAATATGGTTTTTGGGCTATTAGGAGCACTTGGAATTGGTTTTTGGGCAAAGTGATGCCTAAATCTCAAAGGGACTAATATATAGAATATTTCACCACCTGAACTTTGGGAATTCCCCCTCCCAATCGCCCTCCAGTGGCGTAAGAAGGTTGCGCACCTAAAAATGAAGCTATCGAGAAATAGAATAGATAGGTATGTTGGGAAAAATTAGTTTAACGCGTTTCTCAAGAAATTTTTTTTCTCTTACCCCCCAGTCATGGTCTAGTGATTTTGGCTTATTGCAGGCCTCTGAAAGGACTTATTAAGAAAGTAAAGGCATGGGCATGTTTAGAAAAAATATTCGAATCTATTTTGAAAGAAATTTTATTTCTCCAGCTCCTCAGTCACGCTCCAGTGATTTTACGCTATATCTCGAGAATGGTAGAAGGTAGAGATGCCATATTAGGGTCATACAAGTTAGTTGAAGTCTAGTTTATGTCAAAAAAAATTCGTCACGGTTGAGTGATCACGGACCTTAAAATTGGGAAAATTCGACTCCGGTTAGGGGTGATCAGTTTATTACAGGGTATTTGAACTTCTTAATGGACTAGAGGGGTCGGGGGCAGAGCGCCGGACGAATTTCCGCCATTCGTCCGGCGCAACGACCCGGGTCCTCCAACAAACTTCAAACAAACATCTGCTTCTTAATTTACTAACAATATTTCCATACATTTCCCCTCGCGGGTAGCGCAGCGACCTTCCCCTGGATGAGTTGGGGGCTATATTGTTTAGGAAACATTGAAAAATTCAGTCTGGCAACATATTTATGCCTCTCATGGATACATAGTCAGGCATGGGTGCCCAAACATAGCCAGGTCCAAACCACCACTAAGACATTGAGCACACAGAAGATGTCAAATAAGATATGACAACAAGATATGACCATATTTTCAAACTCCACTGATTCTGAAGTCAGATTTGGTAATGGTAATCAATGTCAATATTTTCAACAATTCCGAAATTACTTAGATCACTAAGCGATCTCAATAGACACTCATTAAAGGAAACTTGCTCAGAGTCCAGAGCCAGGTGCAAATTTTCGCCAACACATTCCTGAGGACAACAGTCTAAACTCCAAAGTGGAAATATTTGCACAAATTTTCCTCAATTTTCACTGATATGCACTGTTATCTCTAGTTGCAGACTACTGGTATATCAACAAAATTCTCACGTAATCCACGAAGAACATCTCCCTCTGCATCTGCTAGTGTTTTCCCTTGTTCCAGAGTAATCAATTTCGCAATTTCTCCCTAAAAATATTTAGAGTTTTATATCAATGAAGAAAATGTAATTTTATAATTTTATTACATTTCGAGTCATAACTTGTATTCTAGAACTTGAAATGTTTGTTGTTTCAGACTTGCAGTATTAGAATCGCATAAAATACAACCTATAGAATATTTGTATAAAACAACAATTAGCTGCAATATGCTATAAACCCCCTAGAAGATATAACAAACCTGGTTTTCTTTTATTAGTTGCTGGTACTTGAACATAATTTGTTGTCTTGACATCACAGATAATTCAGACCAAGCAGGAAAAGTACGGACTGCAGCAGCAGTTGCTGCCTCCATCTCTTCTTGAGTGGATTCAGGAACTCGAGTGATTATTTCATTGGTTGCCTGAAAAGGCAGGTTTCAATCAACATTATATTATTCAGAGTTGAAAAAATAGATAAAACCAAAAGACTATCGCCACAAAAAGGGGCATCCGTAATAGAGGTCTGAAAACACTAAATAGTCAAAATCATTTCATATCTAGTATATTTATTGAGCAGAGGCAGTCTGTGCAAAGGCATTTTCGGAGCGAAAGATTACAAATATGTAGCATAATAATATGATCTGAATATGATTATAATTTGTTTTATTCCGCTTTGATTACAGTAATTGTAATCTTGAGCAAATGACATTACACACACAGTCAATTTTGAAGTTGGCTGCAAATAACTTAACCAAATATCAGCGCAGCACCAAACACGCAGAAGACTTTTTTGAAGAGAAAAAAGGATTTTAAAAAAACAACATACTGGGTTAGCTAGATCAATCCATCTATCAGTTTTCGATTCAATGAATTTTCCATCAATGAACAATTTTGTAGTTGCCTGTGAATAATAAAAAACATCAATTTATTACTGTCAATTAAAGGCAAATAACAAAAGTACCATAAAAATCTGACATTTGATAGATATGATCATGAAATTTCCATGTAATCCAATGAGAAATGATAATAAACATCAAGACCTAATGACTACAAACCAAAACAAAAATAAAAACAGGGTGCTCATCCAGATAAATACAATACATCAACCATTTTTAGAGGGAATAAAGCTGGAATAGATTAAATCGTTTGAAAAAGAGATGGGTAACTGCTTCCTATACTGTGGCTGGTTCAATGCCTGTTTGCGCTGTTTCCGCAATAAGCGTGAAAGTTACATACAACTCATACAGGAAGTTGGTAACAGGATATAGATTATAAATGTGAAAATCACAATGTTCATAAAATAGGCATTTAGAGTTCTTTCCAAACAATTAAAATGTCATACCCCAGATGAATGGCGATAAATATTCTTTCCTCTTTGTGCGACATCAAGCACCTGCATAAAAATATTGTTATGTTGAATTCGAGGTGATATATTAAAAACTATCTCATCTGCATTGTTTTTAGTATGGGAAGTCATTAAAGGATGCATAAGTACATCGAAATACAGAAACAACGTTTCCATTCATATTGGAACAAAAAAACATTTTCAAAACTATCTATATTTCAGGAGATTCTCTCAGGCAAGGTGACTTAAACCGGCAGGCTGTCATTTAGGAAAGAATAGTACGATTGGGAATTGCTTTTTCTCTATGAACTAGCCATCGATATAACTGAGTCTGAGAATATATTCCATTAAGCATGATTGAAGCACATACCTTTATTAATGAATTCAAAGTTATGCTAGCTAGTCATCACATATTGAATAGTAATGACATTGAAATTGAATTTTCACTTAATATAATTCAAATGCAATGGTTGTATACATTTGTAAAAGAAAATCGTGTAGATCCAAATTTCATAAGTATTCTAAAATTTGGATAGGTAAAGCAGTCAAGCATGGAGTATAATAAATAATATTTTGTTATAGATTTTGTATAAATAGTATCTGAACCAAAGATTGAATCAGATATCCGTATAAAACAATTCACACAATACTCAAAACAATGACGCAAATATCATTTCCTAGTATGAAGTAGTTGAACATAATGATGGGTGACTTCCAACTTGTGACCTTAGAAAACTTCTTACTACCGGTATATATGCTAAAGCTCTGATGCTTTCTCAAAGAGTGTTTTAACGAGTTGGCGCTCACAAACTGGTTTACATGTTTCAAATCAGCATTTTGATTAAAAAATAATAGACCACATGCCCATTGAAATTTGTGGTAGAAAAATTCTAGCCTAATCCATCGTAGCTTTTTCATTGCTACAATTTTTGATTGCTACAACTAACTTTAACTCTTTGGAATACAAAATGATTATTGAGTTATTGGATTCATTCAAAACTTAATTAAAAGAGACAGCTAAAATATCAATCATTTTCTCATGATCACTGTTTTATTAAAAATGTTACGGAAGTAAACAAGGAAATAGATTCTCAAAAAAGGCAACTCCAACTTCCTTGTTTCAATATAATGTGAACAATACTCATGACTACGAACATAAAATAGAACTTACCTTTTGAAATATTCTTTGTGACCGAAGCATGTTAAATTGTGATTAAATAAACATTTAAAAAACTAGCTGGAAATGTAAAAATAGGATACAAAAAATAGGAATGCAACGAAATTTCAAGAAAATAAACAAAATCATTTTATAAGCAAATTAGGAAGATATTGCAATTCCTTGAAGACCTGAGCACTTTTAACACACCAAACCATTTTTAAAGAAAAAAATTAAAAAGTATTGAAAATACAGAAATTCGACAAAGCATAGTACAAAATTTATGTCAGGAAATTGAATGATAAAAAACAGCTGGAGCATCAGATAAGATTCTTATTCCTTGAGTCGTCCGTCACCATTAAAAAAGTACAAATATAATAAAGAATTCTGGTTAATAAAAAACGAAGTATTAAGATTTGTTGCTGTATTCATCATGTTAATTACTCCTGTCATTAAAGTTTTAATTTAGCACACAAGACTGTACACTCCTTCAGTGGAAAACCAGATTTAAATGGAAGTGATTTAGTCTTTTTGGACCTTGTTACAAGCACTTTAAGCGAATTCTTAGAAGGTTGTGCAATTGAACTGAATGTACTTGTGCACTTTCCATGAGGTGAAGAATGCCATATTAATTTACTAAGTCGTCGTTTCTGACAAAGTGAAGGGTTTTTTATTACATCATAAAGCCTAAGTGAAGGATATTTTATTATATCATAAAGAGGCAACACAGGTTTTTTGAACTGTGTATCATTGCAATGCTTTTTTGTGACCAAAACAGGTGAAATCATCCTCCGCTTCAATACAGGAGAGGCATTTTGTGATGATGTCCCATTTTTATTATCTTCAACTTTAGGTAACTCATTATTAGCAAGTTTATCCCTTATAACATTATTTAAAGTACACTGCTGAGGTTTGCTAGATTCCAAATTTACATCCCCACTCGAATCCCAATTCATCTTAGTATATTTATTCAATAAATCTATATCTGAATTACCGGTACCTCTTCCATCGTCAGATATACAGGATATATTAATGACTTGACCCGAAGTTTTTTCAGCTTCTTGTATACAATCGACTGAATCAATATCCATCTTTCGGTATGTAACTTTGAAATTTGTATTTTTTGTTTTAGGAGCCAAATGATTAACATGACCATGGTGTTCTATGGAAGGTTTGGGATTGACATCTGCAAAATATGGTGATTGTCTACTATTTTCCTCTGGTACAATTTCATTACCACTATGTCCATGAATCCCGGGATCATTACTTGAAAAAGAAACAGGTTTGTTCTGTGCATATTTTGGCGGACATTTCCCTGAGTTTAGATTATCTAGAAGTTTAACAGAAACATACATAAATTGCTGATAACAATGCAATCGTTTATTCAGTTCCATTCTCCTCCTTCTTTGACGACCTACGAGCAATGCAGGTTTACAATGGAGTGGCATTTCTGAGCCTTGACTCAATAGATCTTGCATAACCTCTGCCAAAGTAGCAGCAAAAACTTCATTTTTGTTGTTCATTGTCTCGTAAACATATAGCAGTATAGCCTACTTATTGCTGATAGCTGAAACAAAAACATGAAAGCTGAAACAAAAACATAAAAATTTTAAAATCATGTTATAAAAAAAAAATTAACATTCAGACATTACAATACCTTCGGACTCCTGAAACTAAGATGAAAAATCTTTATACTTCACCATACAGCCATAGCTTAAGTGAATGTCAGAATAAACTGTACCTACTTTTCAATTAGTGAATTTTGCCAATGAGTTGCAATCTACAGATCTAAGGTACCGTAAGTCTGCGACATCAATATCTGAATACTGGTCGAACCAGTTGATGTTTACAAACTTGAAGATACGACCTCGTCCTTAATTAATGCAGTACACTGGTCCGGCACAGCAGTACCGGTATGTACGGTACTAGGCTACTACTACATGATTTAGTTACGGTACTGGCCAAAATACACTTTTACAAACTTTACCAGGTTAACAAAATTGATGACTTGAGGAGGAGGGCTGAAGTTACTATTGAATGGAACATCAGGCAGAATGCATACCGTACCCCATATCACTAGGTACCGGTACCGGTACTGGTATGGTACACCTGCAGACCTGTACGTTTGTACGTGGGGTAGAAAAAAACACTTTATGCAAATACGGCATTCAAATCTTCTTCTCATCGGCATAACAAATGCAAGAATCTGCGCGAACGTACCTTTCAGCCTCCGGCTTTATCACGCATCTGCATAGTGTTAAAACATAGGTCGTGTACCGGTGGCGGTACCATGAAAGCTTATTCACCAAAAAAAAATTAGGTGACTGAGCTGCTTTACATCTCAGACTTACGCTCTGAACTCGCAAGAAGGCGTGCCGCGTGCTGGCCAATGAGAATTCTAGCAGCTAGCTACCGACCGACTACGGTACCGTGTGCAACGTATGCCGGCGGTTCTTCGATTTTGCTCAAAGTGATTTTGCTAATCCTCCGAACCCTTGCAACATATGTTGGGACAACTTTGTAATCCTCACGTGTGGCATGGAAGCTTTTGCCCAAAGTGACTATAACCGTAGTAGTATATATATGGCGCGGCGGTGTGGCTCAACGGGCTAAGCGTTAGGAATACGCTCGTCACCGCACCTCTAATTACTCTGCGTGGGTTCGCTGGTTCGAATCCCATGCAGGGATGGTTATGTGCGAGAGGATTTCTGGACTCCTCGCCGTCGTTGGGTGGTTCACGTAACCGCTGGTCGGTTACGGCTTCCTCCACCACCAAGTCCATGCTTCCGAAAAAAACAAACAATACAGTAAAAAACTAATTCCATACCCGACTTGGAATGGTAACCGGACGAGAGGCCGTGGTTCGCCATATGGATAAGCCGTCTTATCGGCTTTCCTCTCCCCCGGGATAAATATGTAAATCCTATCCTATCCTATTTACGCAATAACATATAAGTACCATAGTCACTTTGCTTTTGCCGGGCCCTGATATATTCCACGATTATATAAAGTCAAATATATGCGTGTTTATTTGCCTCAAAATGCAGCAGCATCTAGATAATAATATATATATGTACGATTAAACAGTATAAGCAAGACGGGATACACATGTTCAAGACCTTACTGGGCTTGGACACAAGTGCGCGTCATTGTGCCCTTCACAATTATAACAGAAGAGGGCGGCTGCATTACATTAGGACAACAGACATAGCGAAAATATACAAATAAAGCTTCAGTATAATACACAAAACACAGGCTCGGCACAACGAGGCTATTTACAATAGTCAACTTTCGTAATCTATTTTTAGGCCGGTTCTGTTACATGTTATTTTTTTGTAATGCTAACCGGTTCGCTGATCTCATAAAATTCGGTGAGACGGTTCTTAGGTTCTATAGAACCCGCTGAATACCACTACTACTTGAAGCCAGTGATGAGCAGGAAAAATCGCAACTACCTTACCACCCTCAACCTTCGTATCCTCTGCCCACTGCCTATCTTCTCCTCCCCGACCCGCTGCCCTACCTCCCCAACCTTTCTATCTTCGACCCAATGCCCTATATCTTCAACCAATGGCCCTAATCTCCCTCAACCTTCCTATCCTTGGCCCACTGTCCTATCTCTCTCATCCTTCCTATCCTCGACCCACTGCCTATTTACCTCGACCTCCCCATACTCGGAGAGGCCGACCGTCCTATCTCTCTGAACTCATGGCCCTATCTCCCCCAACCTTCCTATCTTCGGCCCACTGACTATCCCTTTCAACCTTCCTATCCTCGACCCCTGCCTATATTCACCTCAAGCTTCTCTGCCTCTGCCTTTCTTCTGCAACCTTTCCACCCACGACCCATAGCTCACCTATCCTCGGCTTACCGCCCTACACTACACCGTACCTAAACTAACCGCGCTTTACCCACGCTCCGCTCATCACACCCAAACTTGTTTGCTTGTACTTATGTGAACTTACAGGTTTTATACGGCTTGGGTATGCCAATGAGATGATTGAAGCCTACGTCGACGAAACAAGCATACAAGGTTGCCGCCATCGTGACATATTAATATTGGGTATATTTGGATATGTAACAAACGTAGCCTATAGCTTCAGTGAGTGTAAATGCTGACAAAAATGTTTGAAATCTTTAAATCATTTGCCAGGCCATTCAAATGTAGGCTGCAATCCCAAATGGTAATCAATCACCATAAGCAATAGCTTAAAAATTTTCTACTTGCTAGGCCACTGATGTTTCTGTGAATGGGTGCACGGATGGAGCTAATTTGAAATATTAACACCTGTATGCACTGAATGTGAAACTGCTAACACGAGCAATAATAGACGACAGTTTCACCAGGGGAATAAGATTCGGAAGGGAAAATGGAACAGTCTCCAAGTTACGCTAGTGTTATCAGTTAATATGTGTAATCCAGCGACCTAGTTTCAGAAGTTAGTATGAATTAACATCTTTTACCATACATACGTACGAATGCCCAACACGATCGCCGTCCTCAAGATGTTCGACATTTTAAAAACCTAAACTATTAAAACTAAGCTCAGACTGGATAGGGAAGACAGATATATACATCAACTTGACATGAACTGTTTCAACAAATAATAATAAGTTTGTACAGTAAAATTAGATGTTTATGCCCCCACCCCGCTACCCAAAGCTGGTAGATAAATTGACGAAATACAATCAAAAGACCCAACAAAAGCTTTGGGGTTGGCAGCCATGAAAATATTGAGAACCCTCTACCCAGCTGAAAAATCTTCCATCCCAAACAGACAGATCTCAGATATCACTGACATCAAAGTTAGGCTACTGCTCAGTTGGCGATCTTCTTGCGGAGAGTTAATATGGATTTTGAAATTACCGCAGAGCTCGCAGCAATTGTGCGGGTACGACTAGGCGCATCGGTCTGTGGGAAGCTGTAATGAAAAAGATAATGCGTCTTGGCTTGGCTTTAACGAAACTTTCGGAAATAACTACTTATGTCGCCCCATCAATGGTTGGAAAACAGTTTTATTGGTATAATAATTGTGAAAGTTTGGTGTGCGGGTATTGTTTGTTCTTTCATTAACCTGTAGTCAGTGTAGCAAAACTAGAACATAATGCCATATTGAGTGGCACGCGCAAATATTTCAGAAATGGCGGGATAGATATGATAGACATCAAACTAAAATCTCATGCATGTCTCTTCCAAAAACTAACCACAATACTTAGCTTAAATACCCAACCGAATTCTGTCACTTCGAGGCATTCCACACTCTAGGCGCGAAAATAAAAATATTCGACAAATCACTATACGACAACTCGCCCCACGCACTACATTTGATCACGACTTTCAACATATCCTGAGTATTAGTTATTTTATGGACCCTGAACCATCCGAGTAGCAAGGAGGAACCCTGCGCTTCATTTGCGATAAGTTAAAAGACAAGACTTATGAATTCGACCAAAGGGAAAGTTGTGAATTGCCAAAAATACACTTAACAAATGACTTGTTCATTTGCGATAAGTTAAAAGACAAGACTTATGAATTCGACCAAACGGAAAGTTGTGAATTGCCAAAAATACACTTAACAAATGACTTGCTAGACTAGAGCAACACTTTTCAAATGCCGAAAGACAACACCATATAGGATTAAAAGAGATGGGTACCTCTTTGCCACAGAAAGTAGAGGTTTGGTATAATACGAAACAACAGAAACTCTCGCTTACTAAATTGAATTGTAAATTCTGTAGAGAAAACCCGGATACCACCCCTCACATCTTTCTGAGGTGCCCCCAGTATGCTACGCTTCATAACTCAGTTATCCAAAAACTGGAAATTATAACAGGCCACAAATTAACATTATGTCGGCAACAAATATTCGACAACACTTATATATGAATTTAAATACCAACTTGCTCTACTCAAATTTTTCTTTGTACTAAAATCTGAGGTCATCAACCTAAAAATTGAAAGCAAAATAGATATGGAACCGCCTGGGATATAGAAAGTGTACTTCAAAGGGTATTATTAAAATTTACTCAATATATGGACCCCATAATATTCACGCATGAATCGGCTCCGATATTTGAAGTCAGCTCAGACTGGAAAACTCTACTACTTCAAAATAGAACAGTGACTTAGCCCCCCATGTAACGCCATACCCGTACCCCATAAACGGGAGCATAAAAACTGTTAATACATCACAACCCCAACAGAAATGACAAAATGAAAGCTTCAAGATGCCAGTTATGCTATGTATACTTACCTGACGAGGCAGTTAACCGCGATCACGCATGATCATCAGATGAACCAGTTCGAGAGTATTTGGTTGCATTAAGTACAAATTTGATTCATTGAGGATATATGGCAGAATAGTCTAATTCAGACACGGCGTTGGATTATATGCTACTCGTGGAAATACTACAATAAGAGAAAATGGACTATTCAGCAGCCGTATCCAACCAAGGTACAGTGCAAGAAAATCGCCCACGCTCGGTGATCGCAGAGGTAAGCGACGATCTTGATTTTAATAGTTTCCTAGAAACTCTAAGGAATTCGGCGTCTACCAGAAACTATGTTGAGCACCTCACGGCCCTTTATGA